ACCCTTCTACCAGTGAATCCTTCTCAGAATTTGCTGATCCCCAATCCCATCCTCACTTTAAGTTGGCCCTCCTGGCCTGTATGTGCCCCAAAGCCACCTGTTGCCTTATGGGCTATGCATGTCCTCTGACCTCCCTTATAACTATGTCCATGTCTCATAGGTGGTTCTGTACCAAGTTGTCCCTTGCAGAGATTTCAGCTCTCCTGGTGTCATCCTTCCTTTCCTCTGGCCCTGGCTCATGGATTTGGGTCTGGCTTTCTCAGCTTCATCGACAATGTCTCTGGACCCCTAGCTGTTTTGTCTCTTGATTTGTCCTCCTGGCCGCAGAATTCGTCCTTCTGGGTGGCTGGGCCCTGGACCCCTGGTCTCTGCCCTTCTGGGCTAATCTCACCCCTCCTGGGCTACAGGTCCCTGACCCTGGTTCTTATTCCTCTGTAGCATTTGTTTCACCCTCCTTGGGCTATGGGTCCCTGACCCTGGTTTGATCCCTGCTTGGGCCCCTGGCCTTGTCCCTGTTACTCTTGCTGTTTGAACCTGATCCCTGGCTGGCCTCAAGGCAGTTTCATGCCTTGCAGGCACAGCTAGGACCTCTCTCCCCAGTAGCACCAAACCCAAGCCACCAGTTAAAACTCAAGTAGAAAAATACAGGCACTGTAGCTTTAACACAAATGCTCAGCCTGCTGGCTGTCTCCTAAACCTTTTGTTCCTTCTGGGTCTCAGTCCCCTATCAGCCCTCAGCTCCTTACTTGCTGTTCTCAAGCTTAGTGAGGTCTCAGCCAGTCATCTCACAGCAAAGCTCCTTCTCCTTCAGCCTCTGGGATTAGACTGCCTGACCTGGCTCAAGCCCTGGGTTTATGCATCTCCCAGGCCCTGCCCCTGTCCAGTTAGGTGACTACCCTGGACAGGTTGCAGGTGTTCCCTGATTAGGCTTGCTTACTGATCTCAAGGGTAGGCTGCTGCTGCTGGCCTAGCTGCTGTGGTATTGCCTTATCTCCTAAGCTGGGTTCTGCCTTGCACTACTATTACCAAGCAGCTAGCACTGCAGTAGGCTCTGCCTGGCTTGATACTGCTACAGTGTTTCTTGATCTGCCACAAGCATCCCCCGGGGGACATGCCCTGCATCATATAATGGGTAGCCTTTCCCACCTGGGGTTCTCTCTGCTGCTGTTTCTTCCTTAAAGTAATAGGAACCATAGCAACAGTCTTAGCAGAGAAGCCACAAACTGATTTTTTTGTTATGACTGTGCTACTATTTCAATTGTACAAAGGTTTCCTACAGGTCAAGGTTAGGACATACGGATAGAATAGGCTAGTAAAGTTTGTATTTCTTGGGTTCATGCTCTGCCTTGTTCTTTTTATTTATATAAAGTATTTTGTTCTAGGAATGTTTTTTTTCATGTGCTACCAACATGGCAGATTTTACAAGCCCTAAATTTACTTTATACCTACAACACCAAATTGCCTAGGATGTATATGTTTAATCTTTAGTACTCAATTATTTTTCACTGTAAGCATATAAACTATAAAACAAGCTAAATATGGTAGGCAGGATGAATTTGTATCTAGTAAGAATTGTCTTTCATACTTAAACCTGTCTGATACTTGTATCCAACTGAAAGATCACTTAATACATTTCTTAAACTCATTGAATTTATATGGAATAACTGCTTGCAAAGAAATTGGATTTGTGACCAGAAAAAATATCATCTTATGTACATCTACTTCATCAGCTACCTGTCAAAAGACCTGACCTCTTCCTAACCAATGGTAAAACTAGTGTTGTCTCAAAAGCCTTAAGTCCAAATAACATTCACCAACGTGTTTTTTTTTCCTGAGAAAGAATAAGAAATGGGTATGATTTCTCATCTGTGCTAGAAGACATTCCGTGTGCAGTTAGTTGCACCATACCATAGACAGCAAGATAGAACTAGATCTAATTAAAATTTATCCAGTACACCAAAGATCACACAAAGAGTGATATTCTTCTTTTTTGGAATGTGAAGACTGACATGTCCCTGATACAATTATATCAATTGCATGTTTAGTGACCCCCAACAATTCTTTCAATGTTATAACTTCTTATCTATTGCCCTCTACCTGGCACCTCTTGAGCATATAGTGACAACATTTTATAGAAACAAAACATTGGTGCCATGGTTCCCCTGATTTACCTGTGGCAGGTTAGGGTGTTAGATCTATGTTGTGTTAGGGTTGAGGGTAGACTTATGTAGTGTTTAGATTATGGTTATATGGGGTGGTTTGGATAGGGATAATCCTGCCTTAGGCAGGGGGTTGGACTAGATGACTCTGGAGGCCCCTTCCAGCCCTGCTTCTCTATGACCATAATAAGAGAATAACATAAAGTCTCTATGACCATAAAATCTGCAAAGCAAAGAGGAAATCATGTATGTTTAACAATTTAGCACACTGTTGTTGCATTAAAACCTGACCCAGCTAGACAACCCTTTCATTTTTTCTTCATAGTTTAAGCTAAGGACCAAAGCATGTGCAATTACCTGACAATTACTTACAAAGTGACTACCAAAATCATATTAATACATTCCTATTACTTTAGCTTTTTCTTATCTATCATACAGAAATCCATTACAGTTAGACAGACTGATTTACTGATGATGGACAAAAGAGAGTGAAAGACAAAGTAAACCTGTATCTTAAAAAATAATTAATGCATGGCTACAGATTAGGTATGCTAATGTTATTATTATTATTATTTTTCCTCTTTCATATCGACTGACATTCTTTGAAATTGAAGTTGATCCAGATTTTAGCTAAGTTTCTGTCCTATTCACTAAGTACACACAATCAAAAAACACAAGGCTGAATCAATTCAATCTTCACAGGTAAGTCTAAACTATGTATACTAAACTGATAAGTAAGTGAACAGACATTAATTTTTGATGCCAGAAATGCAGCCATGTGCCTTTAGTGGCTCAGCCCAGAAGCAGGGGGGGTGCTAGAACATGCTTCCCTGCACAGGCAACTGGTGCCTCCTGAGTCGGTGGGGCACTTGCCTCCCCAACGGACAGTCAGTGACTGTGGAGGGGAGGGGTCCCCGCAGCCAATCCTTCCAACCTGCAACTGGCAGCGGCACTTCTGGGCCAGCTGGATCAGTCATAGGGGGACCACTTCTCCTGGTGCACTCCCTGGCCGACGCTCTCAGAGGGGGCACCAGCCCTCTCACCTGGCCCCCCCCGCCCGGGAATACTGCTGTCAGGGGGTGCACATACATCCCCTATGCATCACCACTGCTTCCCTGCTCAGCTGGAGCAGACAACTTGGACCAAGGTGATCCTGTCCACCATGTGAAGGAGGGTCTGCAAGCAAGAGGCAAAGCATCCTGGGACACCGAGGGACTGTGAGTTGACTTGAATCTGGAGGGGATATGAGACAGAAGTTCAATGACCCAATCTAACCTAAACCAGTTAAATCTGATACTATATCCATCCAGGATTATCTTAAAGTGGCATTGGCCATTTTGAAAATGGTTTATATGCAATGAACTTCTGTTGTGTTACAGATTTGAACTGGTTTCCAATCACTTATACCGGTTTACGTGTAATTTCTGTCCCTAGCCATTATATTTCTAGGTAATCTTTACTAGTATTAATTGTAAATAAACAGAATGCCCACTAGGGATTACACATAAAGATTATGGATAAAGGATAGCTTCCCTGGTAGACTAGATTTAATTTGCAATAAAAAGAATATAATCTCATTCAGGGAATAAATAATACATGCATATGTACAGAATATTTCTTCATATCCCCTTAATCTAAATAGTTTAATAGATGTATATTAAATATGTTTCAATCAACTCTACAGGTTTCACCATCTTAAACTAAAGTTATCTGTGAGCATGTCTACACATGCACCCCACTGCACAGCTGGTACTTCTCAGTCATAGAATCATAGAAAGCTAGGGTTGGAAGGGACCTCAGGAGGCCATCTAGTCCAACCCTCTGCTCAAAGCAGGACCATCCCCAACAAATTATCCCAGCCAAAGCTTTGTCTAGCCAGGTTTTGAAAACATGTAAGGATGGAGCTTCTACCACCTGTCTGGGTAATCTGTTCCAGGGTTTTACTGCTCTCTTAGTGAGAAAATTCTTCCTAATATCCAACCTAAATTTCCCTTGTTGCAACTTGTAACCATCACTCCTTGTTCTGCATTTGCCACCACTGAGAATGGTTCAGCTCCATCCTCTTTTGAACCTCAGTTCAAATAGTTGAAAGTCTGCTATTAAATCCCCCTCAGTCTTCTCTTCTCTAGTCTAAATAAGCCCAGTTCCCTCAGGCTTTCCTTAAAAGTCATTTGCCCCAGCCCTCTCACCATTTTTGTTGCCCTCTGCTGGACTCTCTCCAATTTGTCCACATCCTTTCTGTAGTGGGGGGCCCAAAACTGAACTCAGTACTCCAGATGTGGCCTCACCAGTGCTGAATAGAGGGGAAGAATCACTTTCCTTGACCTAGTGGCAAAACACCTATCAGTGCAGCCCATTATGCTGTTAGCCTTCTTGGAAATAAATGCACACTGCTAGCTCATATTCATCTCATAGTCCACTGTAACCCATAGGTCATTTTCTGCAGAGCTGCTGCCCAGCTAGTCAGATCCCAGCCTGTACTCCCTGGGATTTTTCCATCCTAAGTGCAGGACTTGTCCTTGTTGAACCTCATGAGATTTATTTTAGCCCAATCCTCCAGTTTGTATAGGTCACTCTGAATCCTATTCCTACCCTCCAGCATATCTACTACTCCCCTGAGCTTGGTGTCATCTGCAAACTTTCTGAGGGTGCACTCTATGCCATCTTCCAGGAAACTGATAAAGATATTAAACAAAACCAGCCCCAGGACTGAACCCTGGGGCACTCCACTTGATACCAGTTGCCAACTAGATATGGAGCCATTGATTACTACTCTCAGATGCTCCAGCCAGTTTTCTATCCACCTTACAGTCCATTCATTGAGCCCATATTTCCTTAGCTTGCCTGCAAAAATGCTATGGAAAACCATATCAACAGATTTGTTAAAATCAAGGTATACCACATCGACCAGTCTCCCCACATATACTTCTGTCACCTTGTCATAGCAGGCAATCAAATTGGTAAGGCATGACATGCCTTGGTGAATTCATGCTGACTGTTCCTAATTACCTTTTTCTTCAGTAGGTCATTGCTACTGTGTAGTAGTGGCAGCATCATGGTTAATGCCCGGCAATGGTACAGGAACATAGCGTCTTGTGTAGATGCACCCTGTGTTGTTTAATCTTCAAAAATGTTTCATTCTTTTGTAGTACCTATTTATAAATTGTTAATGTTCTCCTGAACAATAGGTATTCTCCTGAACAGCTATCCAGTTGGATCAGGAAAGAGAAGGCCATCAGGGATCCAATTCACAAGGCCTGCTGTGCTAGGTCCAGCTTGATTTAGTAGAGCATAATGTAGTGGTACACATAATCAAATGTGTATAACGTGGGATCTTCAAAAGTAGTCAAGACTGATGAAACTTTGCTTCCACTACAGTCAACAATAAAATTCTTGTTGACTTCAAGGGGGACAAAATTAGGCTAACACTGAGCACATTTGAAAATCTGATCCACAGTTCTGAAGGCAACGAATCAGCCCCACGCTTTTTCATATCTAAACCTACTTCATCACTGCAGTTAGGTCAGAAGCCTACTCTTCTAATTTTAGACGAATTGAAATCTGCACTCGGGGAAAAGTTTACATCTGCTTATTGAGAGTGACATTTCAGCAAAGGAGACAAACTAGAGTAGAAAGTCACTCCCAACTGTCACCATCTTCTTTCTAGTCTCCCAGTCTAACTATTCAAATTATCCAAAAGTGTCACTAACAGGGTCATCAACTTCTCAGGTAATACCAACTCTACATAAATCTGGAGCTGGTTACAATTTTTCAAATTTTGACATTTAAGTGAGTTATAGGGTGGAGGGGAAAGAGAAAGAAGAAAAAAGTTATTATCAATCCCTAAGCAGTTTATTTGAGTCTCTCCATTGCCCTTGTTTACTCCATACTTAATATATCACCCTACAAAACAATAATAGACTAAATTCCTACCTAAATGATCACTTGACAATACATTTACATTGGGGTACACCATGTACAGTCACCAGGCCCTCCTATGTATAGTCACCAGGACCCACCATCATTCTTTATTAAACCATTTTATTAAATGGGAAAGGATTTGGAAAGCAAACCAGTGAGTCCTGTGTCCTGGTTTTTAGTAGTGCCTCTGTTCTTGAGTGACAGATGACAAATCAATGACCCTCCCCTATTCTCCCAAGCCAGACATTTTTGTCAGCTATTTGTTTTCTGCTGGGGAAGAAACATTACTAAATAAAAGTTGAAAAATAAAAATGGCAAGTTAGAACATTCTACAATACATAATTAACTCCCTGGCTCTTTAATCACTGTATTTTTCTAATAGAAAACTTTGTTTTCCTAAGTTTTAGATTTCTACATGTTTGCATTTTATTTAAAGAAGAAATAAACAAATACTTTTTGTCATTACATGTGTTTAAATTTATACCTTTACATTTTATCTTAATTTCTTAACTTCACCTACATTACCAAAGTACATTTGACTATTTTATTTTGAAAGTATTTTTGCATGGCTTAGTTTCTGAGTAGTGGATACTTTTACAACAGCAATAAGATCCTCCTTCTTCCCATATCCCCAGAATGATTTAGGCAGTTCCATTATAATTCTTTCTATACAAGTCAGTAAAATCTATTATGACTGCCCAAAGACGAGCCACAAAAGATAGAACTGCTATAAATGACATGGGTTAACTTTCTAAAAAGAACTGAATATGAAATGTAGAACTTGGAGAGCATAGTGGAATTTTGAAGTTCAGTGACATTTCCCTTCAGTGTTAGTGCACTTGTTCATAATATAGTTGTATCATGAATATACAATGATAAAATATGTATCATTAAATTGCTACTCTGCATACACATGCACTACTATTACTAGGTAAGAGTAGTAATACAGGTTTACCTTGATTTATGAGGATTCTTTATAGGTAAATTTTCTCTTATCCAATGAACATATTTAGATCCATAATTCTTTATATGTGAGGTAAATTCACTCCTATGTGATCAGCATAGATTCCCCTCCCCCAGCCTAAGCAGGTAAGTCTGGGGGGAGAAGGAAGGGGAAAGGGCCATGGCCCCACTCAC